AGCATCTAGAAACAAAGGTGTTGATGGCAGCAGCACAGCTGATATTTCTCTCCAGGATGGAGTCACAGCTGATTTTTATAGAGGGGGCCTTTCTGTCTGCATTTCACAGTAGCTGTTGTACTGAAAGCCTCCACCAGATGGTGCAATTTACAAGTTCACTGCTGGTAAAACTAATAACATCCTGGATTTTATTAACCAGTGAATTAATTAATTAAATAAATATTTGTGCGAATTTCTATTTTATTTTTTACTTATATTTCTTATATGATAACTAGTCATTACATTTGCAAACGCTACACCAATATTTAGATTTCCTCAGCGATTACTAAAGTATTCCCTCCGCGCCGGCAGGTGGCGCTGTGGCGGAGTAACAGCTACTGGTAAGCAGCCAGAGTTAGCTTTAGCTGTGTGAGCTTCGGGAGCTCCAGTAGCTCAGTTAGCAACTTTATTCTTCACAGACAGGTTTGGTTTCTGCTTTTAGCGGCCGGACTGAGTGGAAGCTTTTAATCCGGACTTTTATCCGCACTTTAATCCGGAGATTTATCCTTCGTTATCAGGGTTAACTGCTAATGCTAACTACACCCTCTGAGAGCGCCTGCAGGAAGTGACGCACAGCGGCGTGATGGGGATGAGGATGAAGGTCTGTCAGCAGCTGCTCCGCTCAGCCTTCAGTCAGCGCGTGTCCTCACGCGCCGTCGGCAGGATCACAGCTGATCAAAGGGTCACAGGTAGGAACCAGAACCAGCAGAGACCCACACACCTCACCTGGTGAGAGGAACGGCTTAGACTCACCTGGACGGAGCGGATTCTGCTCCATGGTCCTAGAAAAGGAGCTTTTGTTAATCTGCCCTGAAATAATAATAAAAAAAAACACTTTGATTATGATAAATACTTCAGACTAATTTAGCTTTTTTCTCAGATAATTTTTCCTTTCATCATAATTGATTTTTTTCGTTGATTTTCGTTTTCAAATTTCACTTTTCATTCATTTCCTTCTTTACTCATAATGTTCCATTGTTCCAATTTTTCTTCACTTTGATCAAAACTCTCTGGATAAAATAAAGTTAACAGATGGATCTAAACTCATCACTCCAGAGCAGGGGGGGATTAACCATTAGGCAAAGACCAGGCAGCTGCCTAGGGCCCCAAGTTCCTGGGGGCCCCATAAAACTCTGTTTTCATGTATGGTTAATACA